GTTTAGGGTATAGGGTGTAGAGTTTAGGGTTTAGGGTTTAGGGTTTAGGGTTTAGGGTGTAGAGTTTAGGGTTTAGGGTATAGGGTGTAGAGTTTAGGGTTTAGGGTTTAGGGTGTAGAGCTTAGGGTTTAGGGCTTAGGGTTTTAGGATTTAAGGCTTGGGATTTAGGGTTTAGGGTTTAGGTTTTTAGGGCTTGGGATTGAGGATTTAGGGTTTAGGGAATGAAGCCCTAAGAATGACAGTATGACTACAGAGGAACGACAATAGGATACTAGTCTAGTGCTTAGGGTTCCTATTTCGACTATGTGCCTCGAGAAACCCTACTCTAATCATTGGGTAGTTCTCTAAATAGGGTCCCTTGTAGGGTCCTTTTTTATCAGAGTGCCGCACTATCTTGGGGACCGAAAAGGGGACCCTAATTTAGAGAACTACCCCAATATTACAGCACCTACATTCATCTCTGATGCTTACAGGGTCTCACAGCTTCGGGCTTAGAATCTAAAGTTTAGGGGTCTAATCTAGGGGCCTTGATAATTAGAATAGGGTTTTGGGGCCCCTTATACTATAATTAAAATAAGGAGCCACCAAAAAAGGAGCCACCAAAATAAAATTGGAGATTAATTTTAGGCCCCTACATCAAGGCTTTGAGTTTTAGGATGTTGGCTTTCGTGCTTTGAAGGATTAGGGTTTAGGGTTTAGGGTTTATTGAAGGTTTGAGTTATCGGGTTTGTACCCCTTCACTGATTTTTTTCTGGGTCTTCGGGAACCCATGTAGAAACGTTTTGCGGCCCCCTAGAAGACACCTTTTACACCCACCCTCTTTTCAGGACATGGGTTTGTCACCAGACTCCCGAAACCCTAAACCCTCCACCCTCTTTATGGCCAGGGGTTTCTGACCAAACTGAGCCGCTTGTCCTGATCTGCGGACATGGGAGCTAGGATTAGGGGGACCCTTGGGGATATAGACCCTCTCAATAAGGTCCCTTTTAAGAGAGCCAAAAGTAGGGTTCAGAAGGGGTAAACTTTAAGGGGTACCTTTAATAATACTACGTAGGACAATGATGCGGGCGTGCCCAGCACCTCTTCCAACTTTGAGTCCAACAGATAATCTGAACAACACTGGGTTTGCAGGGAAGTAGCTATACTGCTTTAATGAGTTTGGTCCTAAACCCTAGGCCCTAGACCAAACACCTGAATCCCTGACTGCTCCTCCAGCAACACTAACTCTCGGAACCCCTGGTAGACACCCTTAAAACGCTCCTTTTCGAGCCCTTATAGTGTCCCTATGGTACCCTCACAGAACCCATAAATACTCACGGAATCCTTCAAGGAGCCCTAAACCCTAAACCCTGAAACCCTAAACCCTAAACCCTAAACCCTAAACCCTGAACCGCTTCAAGGAACCCTAAACCCACCCCTAACCGTATCTGAAGGCCTTTCTTCAAGTCCTCGGAGAGGGCCGACTGCGCGACGGAGGCGCTTCGGAGCCTGACGACCTCCTGGCGCAGGGATCCTAAGCCCCAAACCCTAAACCCTAAACATCCCCAAAGGGATCATCGTTCGGTGCTTCAAGGGGCTCCTGTAGATTTCGGGCACCGGATTCTGGCTGTTTGCTCTTGGCCATGTTGCTCTAAACCCTAAACCCTAAACCCTGCGTCTTTGAAGGATGCGGCCGCTGGTCTTTTTGCTCTGCCTCGGGTCGCGCCCCGGCCGCTGAGTCCCGTGTTTCTGTTCTTTGAGTTCGACTTTGCTGCAAGTTTCCTGCTTTTGGCCTGCACGCTTCGCACCGGACGTCCGAGAGAGAGGGAGACAGTGAGTTCAAGGGGGTTGAAAGGGGGGTTCTGGGTTTAGATTTCAAGGTTCTGGGTCCAGAGCTTGGGTTTAGCATGAATTTCCGGGCTTTGGGCTTACGAGTTGTTACTGTTCTGGGTTTGGGAATTTGGCAGTTGTACTGGGTTTCGGGTTCTGGGGCTTCAAAGGCCCTGCAAACCCTAAACTCTAAACCCCAAACCCTGAAACCCCAAACCCCTAAACCCCTAAACCCCTAAACCCCTAAACCCCTAAACCCCTAACCCATGGAAGCCCAAAAATAAAACCTGCACACCAGGCCCTATGTAGGGGCCTTAATAAATTTAAACCGCTGTAGATGCCTTAATAATTAGAATAGGGTTTTGGGGTCCATTATACCATAATTATAAAACGGAACCCCCAAAACCCTAATCTAATTATGAAGGCCCCTACTATAGAACCTTATTGTAGAGCCCTTATAGAACCCTTTAAGGATCCCTTTAAAGGGCTATTTAAGCCCCTATATGAGATGTTGCTTAGTTTTGTTCACCCCGACCTCCTGCAACGACGCCAGGCGTTTTTCCATGGCTTGGATCTGGCGCGCCTGGCGCCAGGTCTGGGGTTTAGGGTTTAGGGTTTAGGGCTTAGGGCTTAGGGCTTAGGGTTTAGGGTTTTGTTTTTTTTTGACCTACGGTAGACGGACTTTTACGACCGCACTCGCCACCTTGGGCTCGCAGGGTGAAACAACAAAAGTGGCCACAATGTTCTCGTAGTCGTAACCCTGTGTGGAACCATCCCAAGAACACTCAGGTAGAAGACAACACATCCCAGTTTTGGCAAGGAGAGGATGGAGAGAAAGATCCCGTTCAGGTAGTGTTGGGCCCATCCGTGACATCCACATCCGACGATGAAGAAGCGTAGTCAACTCCCCACACATTGTCGTCCACTGCCATAGTTGCGCCCACCTTGGAATCCACTCCCGGAAGCACAGTGTTCACGTCCACATGAGACGTCGTCACTGAGAAGGTCGGGTCATCAGCTTCACGGTTCACCATCGGCATGGGTGGGGTGTATCATCAGGTTCGGCAGCTGAGGCAGGCACCCCAACGACACCATGTTCCGGCACTGATGGGGCATTGGTTTCCATCCCAGTTCTCTCGCTATTCGCCAAGGGCAGTTGTCGAGGTCTAGAGGGAACTCGCGCACCCGTGTTAGCTGGCGGACCCATTGGAGGAGCACGTGGACGAAGCCGAACTTGCTCACCCAACTCCACCAACTCCCTGTGTGGTTCACGACGAATCTCCTCAGCTTGCCGTTCACGTAGACGATGCGAGTCGTCCGCATGCGCCATGTCCAGCAAGGCGTGGGCCATATTCCAAACTTCACCCTCAAAACTGGTCGCCCACCCCATCATTTGTGCGTGCTGGGCACTGTTGACAGGTGGAACCGTTCGGGGTTCGCCAGGGGGAGGATAAATGCTGTGGAGTAGCGCGTCCCTGTATCTTTGAAGCGCTACTCGGATCGTTTGGATGGCAGCCGCCTGTTGGTGCAAGGCACATCTTGCGACACCACCTAACCCCATACGTTCTCGTCCATGTAGTTCGCCTAAGACATAATTGGTGATCGCTTCGCATGGCTTGTAATCTCCTGCCATGCGACTCCTGAAGAGACAACATACGCGCCGAATGGACTCAATCCCTTTGCAGACGCCGCCAGTCCAGATGTCCACGAAGTCGATAGACATGCTCCGAGGTCTGGGAGCACATCGTTTGTGTCGGACTGGATCCTTGTTGCACGCTTTAGAGACATGGGCATGACTGCTGAGGCAATCACCCAATCTTTCGAGTACACCCAAGCATCTTTGGCCCACCATGTCTCGGAGAACTTCAGAGGAAGCCCAACGCTGGTGAACTCTGAGGTCAACTGCGAAAAGAAGGTCTCCAGAGAGTTTTGGATGTGTGAGGGATGCGTGTAGAGCGCTTTTCCGGGCTCGACCCCTTCAGGGAGCCTGATCGACAGTCGAACGGCTTGGTTGTCTCCCTGTCCGGTGAGGGACGCCCGCCACCTTAAGCGATCGCACACACTCAGTATGATTGCGAATGTTGCCGTGGTCCAACCCTTTTGCCTGAGTCCTTCCACACCGCCAAAATGCGACTCGTAGACTGTTTTCATCCCCTCGTGGGTAACGCGAGTGCTCTTGTTGAGAGAGGGATCTGGGTGGTATCGACTAGATAAGTAGAATAGAGAAGTCTCAAAAAAGGTGTGCGTGAACTGATATATGCCATCCAACCCGAAGTAGCCGTCTAACCACTCCATCACCCAGTCTGCGTTGCTGGAATTAAAGCGGAGATTCCACTTTGAAACCCTCCTTTCGAAAATCATCCGAAGAATCTCCCTGGTGTCAAGCTTCACACGAGCAAGGTACTCCATCATGGTTCGCCTCGGGCCGGGGGGACTGTACCCGAGGAACTCATGAGAGTAGACACAGTCGAACTCGGAGCGAATGGGGCTCAGCGCTGTGTCAGACAGCAAGAGAGACGCATCCTCAAAGTAGTCGGAATCGACCTGCTTCCGAGGATGATCGTTCCCCACTCGTCGAGAGATGGCCCTCGATCCTGAATCAGGTTCAAGTTCGTTGTGTTCGTTTCGATCCACCTCTTAAGGACATCATTGTCTCCAGTGTACTCGACGGGCGGCCACCTACCGTACCTTCGAATGCATGCCAAGCACTAATACTTTGTCAGCGCCGCTGATCCTCTTGCTGACACCTTCTTCATCTCGTCAATTTGCTGCCTTGTCATCTCCGGAGGCTTGGCGATCTTCCTGACATTCTCTATCGCCAGATCTTCGTCTATCGTTGGAAAGCCGAAGAGCCGGTTGAGGCCAAACAGCTCGCTGATGCATGCAGGGGTTTGAAATCGCTCCACGATGCTGGACAATTTCAGAAGTGACCTCTGACCGTAAGTGTCACCTGCCCCGTCCACCGAGGGCGCACCCCCAACCACGCTCGCTATGAACCTCTCGTTCCCTGGGAGTACATCGTAGTCTCGAAATACTCCGATGCATACCGGCTCAAGCTCCTTGATCAGCTTGTACCCACCGTTGCCGGCGTCTTTGAGGATTTTGTCGCCCCAGGAGAAGACATCATCAACTAGCTCCATCGACGGCATGAACGGGGGCCCCTGTTGCGATGACAGTGATGTGAGATAGCGTGACACCGCACGTGCTACAGCGATATCGTGCATCATGAGGATCTGCTCGTTGCTCGCGAGGAGCCACTTTGCACCAGAGCCCCCCCGATCCTTGTGGCTTCTCTTGTCTCGAATCACAGTACACAGCTGGCAGATGTAGAAATCCAGGTGCTTGGTCAGGAGTTGCTTGCATCCTCGAAGTGGGCTGCTGATCGTTCCGGAAACAATGTCGACAACATTGGTCCAAAGTGCAGAGGTCCGAAAACTGCTGCCTGCGCTTGCCAAAGCCTCAGCAACGTCGTCTTTGCACGCTTCGTGTTCCATGGCTTTGTAGCCTGTGAAGTCGGCATTTCTGCGACTGAGGCCTCTGATGACTGACTCTGCCACCTCCGCACCTGCAATCATACCTTCGGAGAGTCGAGAGATCGACTCATCGTCTCCGATGTCCTGAGATCACAGGCTCGGGTAATCACTCGGGTCCAAGAGCCTGAGCTTTCCCAGAGTCTTCTTCTCGAATTTCCCCTTCAGAGTCTCGACAGTTTCCCTCATGCCCGCGTCGAGTGTGGATTTTTCCCCGGATAATGCTGCCAGCACCTCTCGAGGAACATCCGGCCTGATGGCGGTCTGTAAGTGCCTGTCAGCGGCAGACGGAAGCGCTCCGGGCTCATCACCAGGATCATCCAGCATCTTCACACAGAGCGCCAGTAACAAAACACCACCTTGAGCCGTATCCATTTAGGGTTTGGGGTTTAGGGCTTGGGGCTTAGGGTTTAGGGTTTAGGGTTAAGGGTATAGGGCTCATAACTACTCATAGTATCCCCATAGCGTCCTTATATGGGGGTTTCCGAAAATAGGGGACCCTAATATAGTACCGTTAAATAGTAGGATCCTTATCATAAGAACCCCAAAAGAAGGCACCCCTGAATTTCGGAAACCCCCATAGAGCTACAGCTCTACTACGATGTACCCCCTAAACCCCCCCCCAACCAACTTCGGGTGTGGATCAGCGCAGTTCACCTCCGCTTCGGAAGCTGCCAGCACCCAGCGTCCCCAGAGACTCCAATACCCCTTAATTAAGGAATACACCTTAAATCATATTAGGGATCCTACTATAATTTAAGGTATATTCCTTAATTAACGGACATTGGAGTCTCTGAGTCTCCTTCGACTAACCGACCCCTGCTCGAGTCGAGGAATGACCACTTCAGTTTGGGCTTAGGAGTGCGGAGTTCCCGGTGTAGGGGTCTAGGGTTTAGGGTTTAGGGTTTAGGGTTTAGGGTTTAGGGTTTAGGGCATTGGGCATTGGGTTTGGGGTTTAGGGTTTAGGGTTTAGGGTTTAGGGTTTGGGGTTGAGGGTAGGGTTAGGGTGTAGAGTTGCTGGGCTGGTTTAGAATCGGTTTGGGGGTATCTTATACCATAACTATATCGAGGAACCTCCAAAACCCTAATCTAATTCTTAAGGCCCCTACTCTAGAACCTTATTATAGATCCCTTATAGAACCCTTTAAGGATCCCTTTGAAGGAATGATTAAGGCCCCTACTCTAGAACCTTATCATAGATCCCTTATAGAACCCTTTAAGGATCCCTTTAAAGGAATGATTAAGGCCCCTAAACCCTAAAACCTAAACCCTAAACCCTAATCTAATGGTTAAGGCCCTACATTACGCCTGCGCATTGAACTTGTCCAGGAGGCTCACCGGCGCGGATGAAACCTGACGACTTCGACTTAGTACGTAGTGTAGGGGCCTTCATAGTAAGAATAGGGTTTCATAGGGTTCCTCTAAAGGGGTTCCGTACAGGGTCCTATAAGGGCTACTGTAAGGGTATAGGGTTTAGGGGCCTTCATAAGTAAAATAGGGTTTTGGGGTGCATTATACTATAGTTATAGGGGCCGGAACCCCCAAAATAGTATAGGTAATTATTAAGACCCCTACATTAAGGCTACAAAGGCCTTGGTTGGGGGGTCATACGCAACCAAAACTATCGTTACCTCACCTATAAGCCTAGTTACTACCGTCCCATGACCCTCCAAGAAGGGGCGGGCAGGCCGACCCCGAACTCCGAAAGGGGTTTAGGGTTTAGGGGTTTAGGGTTTAGGGTCTAGCGTTTGGGGTTTAGGGTTTAGGGTGGGTTTAGATATAGGAGCTGGCATTAAGGGGACCCTGGGGATATAGACCCTCTCAACAAGCTCTTAAGCGAGCTATAAGTAGGGTTCAGAAGGGTCCCCTTTAAGGGGTCTCCGTTATACTGTGTTGTTGGGATTTGGTTCAGCTCCAATGACGAATTTCCGGAGCGGCGGGGGGGCTCGCTTCGGCTGTGAGCTTAGTGGCTGAGCCCTCAGCCCATACATTCAGCCCCCTACTTAAGGCTGCCAGCATGCGGTTGCTCTTTCAGGTTTAGGGTTTCGTGCCCTATGGGATCTGGTTGAACGTACTGTCTCTTGCATGGGAATCAGAAGCTGGGGAGCTTGAACGTTGCAACTCAATTCATTCAACCGAGCCCCCAAGCCGTACACTGAGACTCGGACCGCATGTCCCGGGGCAGTAGCTGCCGAAGCTTGGGCGAGCTCCCTGCGCGGCAGAGTCGGAGACCTGATCTTGGCGAAGCCCCATGCTGTCACAACGGTTTAGGGTTTAGGGTTTAGGGTTCAGGGTTTAGGGTTTAGGGGGTGGCGACGACGACGACGATGTTGACGCGGGGAACCAGTACCAAGATCAGAAAAAGTAGTGAGGATCGCGAGGACGATAAGGATGACGACGACGGGATGATGCTAGTGATGACCTCGCGGGCGATAGCCATGACGACGACAAGATGATGCTCGTGATGATCGCGAGGATGATGATGACGATGATGAGATGATGATGGTGCTGGTACTGATGACCAGTCATGATGATCATAGTCATGATGACACAACCACAAAGAAGTTGCAGCCACACCGATACTCAGCATGGCACTTATCACGATAATATGTGTGCAAGGCTCTTACTGAAGCTCCGTCCCCAGAGAACCCAATACCCCTTAATTAAGGAATATACCTTAAATCATAGGGGTCTTAATATTGTGTTTTAAGGTATATTCCTTCATTAAGGGGTATTGGGTTCTCTGGGCCTGGATCTTGGAATTGGAGCCATCCTCTGCAACAGGGCCGAGGCGCTTGGGCCGTGCAGCAAGCCGATCCAAGCCACTCCTGATGCTTTGGGCTTTGGCTTGGGCTCGTGGCTCCTAGGACTAGGGCTGCTGGGGCGGAAGACCAAACTCTAGCTGAGCCCCTTTCGGTTTGAGGGTTCGTCTTTCCGGGAATCGGATCTCATCCTGCCGGATTATAACTCCGGATTTAGCCACACTACAGTTCTGCAGGGGTGTGCAGCCACCAAGCCTTGCGCGCCTCAAAAAGGCAAAGCCCTCGAGCCCGGACGGAGCACCCACGCCCTGAAACTGAAATCCTAAAGCTAAGACGTGGGTCAACCGCGTCAGAATGCTTGCAACAAGAGAATTAAACGACGAGAAAGAAAATGATGAAGCGACAGTACGAACAGTAACATCAAGACTAGACGTGCTCATGCTACTAACAATACCTTAAGAGCGTCATAATTATATCATGACTGCCACTTCTAATATGATGCCTGCTGTGAGTATTGCTGCACTACCACGCTTAGAACTAATACTCTTGATGCTGCTAGTATACTATTTGCCGGCCTCACTTTCGCTATGATCGCTCGCTACTAAATCCTAAACCCTAACCCCCAAACCCTAAGCCCTAAATCCCAAACCCTAAACCTTAAACCCCAAACCCTAAACCCCGAACCCCAAAACCCCGAACCCCAAACCCTAAACCCCAAACCCTAAACCCCAAACCCTAAACCCTAAACCCCGAACCCCAAACCCTAAACCCTAAACCCCAAACCCTTTGAAGCCGGGCGCTCTGCTGCCGGCACCACAAAGAGCGACTCGTCCCCGACGCCGAAGTCAGAGTCGGGGTCTTGGTAAGCGGAATCCTTGGGTTCGGTGTTTAGGGTTCAGGGTTCAGGGTTTGGGGTTCAGGGTTTGGGGTTTAGGGTTTAGGGTTTAGGCTTTAGGGTTTACGGTTTGGGGTTCAGGGTTTAGGGTTTAGGGTTTAGGCTTTAGGGTTTACGGT